GGGCAGGATTACTTGTAAATCAGCAATTTGGAAAGTGACTGCAATTAGAGGGACAATGTGTCTCTGCTCTCCCCACTCCTGCCCAGTCTGCCTTTGCCTCTCCTGAAGCATAATCCCTAGCTCTCAGAGGTTCTTGGCTCAAAGCCACATAGAGTTGAAGCATCTGGCAATAGCCATTTAACAAAGGCACACAAGGAGAATTGACGTCAGCACTGGGAAATCCAGGGAGGGACTCTGTGCCAGGATCCGGGCAATGAAAGTGTGTGTGTGTGTGTGTGTGTGTGTGTGTGTAGGGTGTGTTGCACAGTAACAGCTGCTGTGGGTGGGGCTGTGAAGAGCACAACATTTCAAAAGGCAAGGCCACTTAGGAAAGTGGCCACATTGCTTCTCTCTCTCATTTATTTGTCAATCATGAGAAGTATTTTCTAAGAATAGCTTTTTTGGGAACATGGAAGTTTAACACACAGTGTAATATCTGCCTGAAATTATTCTGAATTAGTTCTTTGGTCAACTTAAGTTTTTTACTGGGTGATGAATTAAGTCTCCCCTGAGGTCAGCAACAGTGGATTACAGCTGTGTACACAGTATCCCTTTAAAACACCTTTGGAGGGCATTCTTTCCTGCAAAGAATTCTGGGCACTGTAGTTCTGTTGAGGGCTGCTGGGAATTGTAATTCTGTGAGGGATAAACTACAGTTCCCAGAACCATTTGACAGAAAGAGTGTGTTTTGAATGTGCTTTAAAGATATCTTGTGTATGCAGCATATGGAGAGGTCCATAGGTTTGATGAGTTGGTTGATGGACCACCAGCCTCCCAGGTGATTCGTGGCACAATGGGTCAATGCGCCTGGCTGTTAACCAGAAGGTTGGTGGTTCAAGCCCACCCAGGGACAGTTGTGGGCAGGATTCCTGCATTGCTGGGGCTTGAACTATATGACCCGTGGGGTCCCTTCCAACTCTAGAATTCTGCAACTCTATGTTGCTGAAAAAAGGGGGAAAGCTGAAGCCAGGTGTGGAGACGTAAATAGAGGTGTGGGTATAGGAAGAGATGGGCGGTCAGCCCCTGCAGAAATATAATAGGATCTCTGTGAGAATGATGAGATTCAAAAGTGGGGCAGTATAAGCGAGGCGACTCTTTAGATATGTGGATAGAAAAGGAAATTGTGCTATGGGGAGGAAGCCATCATGTTTAAGAGCACTCCTATAACTTCATGGGACCCTGTGCGGACAAGTAATAGAATAAAACACATCAGAAGTCCCATTGTTTGCCTATATTGCACACTCCACAGCAAAACTCATTCTGTATCTGTGATGCTGGGAGTAGTGGGACACCTTATGGTAAGATCTTGTATTACATCCCAGCTCAGAGGACAGTGCAACATTTTTCAGTCCAAAAATTATTCTCCACTTATTGCAAAAATGAAAGCTTATATTGTTGGATTAAAAAAACAAACAAACATTATTTCTTCCTGACATATTACAACCCACCCCAAAATTTATCAGAATGTTATCTTTCATAGATAACTGCCACAGATAACATAATTCCAAAAAAATGAAAATGTGAAGCATAAAGCGGTGGAAGTTAAGAAAACTGAGACTAGATTTGCCGCTTGCTGGAAATTCTAAAAGTTTTTGAAGACTGAAACTTGATTTTACTTCATTGCCTTTTGACTATAAAGCATTCCAGGTATCCCATTGCAGGGGTGTGGAACCTTTCTCAGCTAGAGGGATGCATTCCCTTCTGGGCAACTTGGGTGTATATGTGTCATCTGCTTGGGGGCGGGGTGGAAGGAGGAGCAATTAATGTAAATTTTACCTTTGCATAATAGACTTGTTTCTGCACACACCCCTCTCTTTTCTCCATCCATCCAAGCAAGCAAGCAAGCAAGCAAGCAAGAGGCATTGTCAAAGCAAAGGCACATTCCAGCCAGGCAGAAACAAACACAGAGGGTGTGAACCAAGGCTGGTGAAGGGTGTGGCCTGGAGAGAAAGTGTGGTGGAGGAGCTGTGGCCTGGGCAAAGTCCAGGATAGAGAGGTCTGTAGGTCGTATTTGGCCCTCAGGACTAAGATTCCTGTCCCAATGTGACTCTTAGAACTTGCAAAGCGTGAGAAATACCCCCTCCAAAACCTTGCACTGGCTACAAATAATGAGATGTTTCAATGGTAATGTCTGAACAGCATCATCACATGTATTTTGCTCTTTCTCCAAGGAGCCCTGTCAACATGTTCATTGTGAATTGATCCTAATTAGTTTGCACTGCAGGGAGAGTAGATGATGTTGGCTATTTAACAAGCGTTCATCCTGATTTGTTTGTGGGAGAGATTAGAGGATGTTTGTATCAAAGCAAGTGTTATTCCACACGTTCAAGTGCCTTTCCCCATCACTTTTCTTCCTGCAAAAAGTCCAGTCTTTTTGGCAAGAGGATGTGTTGTGCAATACCCCTTAATTCAGGGGCGTACCTACCTAAGGGTAGGTCAAGTTGGCCTTGCCAAAGTCACAGGTCCAGTGGTTGCAAAATTGGGACTCTGCACCCTGGCTTGAAGTGGCTAGGAGCCCACCTGCCTGTCCACACACTCCCTGGGCTCCTCCTCCACTGCTCTGGGCAGCTGGGTGAGGCACACTGGCTTTCCTGTGTGCCTTGGTGGAGGAATCCTGTCATTGGCATGGGCTGTCACAAGGGATTGAGGGACACACACACCCCAATACATCTCCTTGACAAGGGTGCAAGGGAGCCTATGTACATCTCTGCCCCAATCAACTGTAATCATGTAACCTTAATTTTCCAGTATGTAACAGAATAGTGATGATCAGAAGTGCCCTTGTTTTGTTAATTTATCACATTTGGAGTGGGTCACTCCCACTCTGATTGGATCTTTTATACTTGTTTTCATTTTTGCCCTAAGAAGTACTGTGATCCACCTCTTTTTTGCTTTGCCGGAACTTCTCCCACTTCTGTCTGCATCCATGTATCTGCCAAAAGAGGATAGCACTTCATGCATCTGATGAAGAGGGTTCTGGATCAGAGCACATTTTTTAGCCTTTAAATACCACAGGACTCATGCTTGTTTTTACTTCAAGGGTGCCTTGGATTCAAGCACAATTTGGGTTTGCACACCTAAAGCGGATTAAGCTGCCCTGTTGTCCTAGTGCAATAAATCTACTTAAAAACAAACAAGCTTTTTGTGGTTAGGAAAGTGTGGAATGATCATGATGAATGCTCAATAAACAGGTTGTCTTGAGGAGCCCCAGTAGACTAAAATAGCTGCTACCTGGAAGTGGTTCACAGTATTCTCAAATATGCAATGGGGTGGCTTATTTGTGTTTCACCACTGCCCCCTGCTGGACATAACCAGAGCACTTTCTTTAACAGAAATAGCAAGCAAGTTTGAGCCAAACTAGGTGTTGCCTGATAAACACAGGCTGCAAAGCCTAAACAGGCTTTAAGGAAAATGAGGCAGAAAAGCAGTTTTTAGGAGGCAGAGTTAAGAAGTGGAGAAAGTAGCACAGCTTCCCTCTCCTGCACTATATCTTAGCGCAGCTGAGACGTGTGAGAATTTGTAAGTGGTATGGATTGCAAGCTAAATCCCCCACCCCAGACCTCTGTGTTCTCTCCTGAAGGCTTCTAGGAGGCTGCAGATAGCTGCCTGAGCAGGCCAGTGTCTCCCTCCCTCCCTGTGTCACACTCACAGAAACAAACAAACACTGCAGGGCAGGCATGGGGAACCTTCTGCAGCCTGTGGTCCTCATTCCCTTCCGCACAAGCTTCCAGGGGCCACATGCCTGGTGTGAGGGAGACAGAGACACTTTCAGTAGCACTATTATGGACCAGGTTGTGTTTGCTTAGGGGAAGCACTTTCAAAAGGTGGTGGAGGAGGAGGGGTTTGGATTTGATATCCCGCCTTTCACTCCCCTTAAGGAGTCTCAAAGTGGCTAACATTCTCCTTTCCCTTCCTCCCCCACAACAAACACTCTGTGAGGTGAGTGGGGCTGAGAGATTTCAGAGAAGTGTGACTGGCCCAAGGTCACCCAGCAGCTGCATGTGGAGGAGCGGGGATGCGAACCCGGTTCACCAGATTACGAGTCCACTGCTCTTAACCACTACACCATGCCGGTGAAAGCAGGTGTGTGCTTCTAAGGCCATAATAAGGGCTGGACATTGCCAGGTGCCTGCCAAAGTCTACACCCCTGCAGAGGGGACTCATTGTTGATTTGTAGAGTCTCCTTCCCCTTTTTGCTGTCACTGCCTGTTTGTCTACCATCTCTAAGTATGCAGGAAGTGCCTGGAGAGAAAAGATGGGGCATCCTCCTCCGCTCAACTTGCGCTTTCCCTCTGGGTGATGAGCTGTAGACCCATAGGGAGAGAATGAACAAATGACCATTGGCAATGTGAGTGAGAGAGAGGAGAATTGAGAAAGATGGTGTATTGTGAGCATTCACACACTCACCCCAAATCTGAGGTTGGTACTAGGTTCCTGCCATGTTTCCAGCTAGGTAAGAGGTTCCTTTAGACCAGGAGTGGGCAACCTGTGGCCTTTCAGTTGTTGCTGGACCTCAAGTCTTATTGGCCCCAGCCAGCATGGCCAATAGCCAGGGATGGTGGGAGAAGTTGTATTCCTACAACATCTGGAGGGCTGCAGGTTCCCTCCCCTGCTCTAGGCTTCTGGGTGTACATAGCTCCCCCTGGATGAATGAAATAGATTACATTTCTATTGTGCATTTCTCCTGGGATTTTCAAAGAGGGTTTACATTTCCCCTACCTTATATAGGCAAAGCCTTGCGGTTGGAACAGGATCCCATCAGGGCACTATGCGTTCTTTTCTGCCCCTGTGCTTCATTTTCGGTGGAATTTTTCCTCAGGAGCACCCATATGTCTTGTGTCTTCTTCCTCATTTTTTAAAATCAAGAACCCCCAGAAAGGAACCAGAACAAGTGCTATTAAAGTACACTTTTCCTTTTCCCCCTCTTTTTGCATTTTACCATGAATATATTTAAGAGTAGGTCTTTGAACATTGTCACACACACAAACACAGAAACCTGAAATGATGTCCATCAACCTGAGAATGGGACAAAAGGGGATGAAATCATGAAAGCAAAGGAAGGGGCAGAAGCAGTCTGTTTTCCAGGACAATTGCTATTTTCTTGACTTTAGCTACCATCTCAGTTTTTCCGGCAGGTTTTCTGGTGTCCATTATATCCCTCTTGTACACTGCTTAGAAATTATGCAATTAAATGGTATATAACTTATTGAAATAAAAGAATCTCTGTATGCCATTTGAAGTGTATTTCCATGTTGAACAGGAGTCATCAATATGACTTTTAGGGTTCAGAGGTCCAAATGCCAATAACATATGAGGCTCATGTCACTATTTGAGCCTCTGGTGGATTTCTCTTCCACATGGAAAACAGAGGAAAGGCATTTGTAAATGCAAATGGACATTCTGGCCAATGTAGCTTTGACTTTTTAAAGCACAAGCCTCTTTAAGTTTCATGTGTGCCCTGTTGATAATGGTAACCATTTAGTGTCTCTCTTGGGTAGTTTGGATGCGAGATGGTGTGAGATGACATAGCTGTACTGATAAATTTATTTATTAAATTTGTATACCGCTCTGAGATTTGCAGGTATAGGGTGGTATACAAATGTAATAAATAAATAAAAATATGTGTTTGGCCACAGCTTCCACCCCCAAACTCTACAGTGTGTTCAAACAACAGATCCTGATGTTATACATGGTAGTTCCCTATCTTAACTGCTGGTTCTAAGTGTGTTTTAAGTATAGTTTTTAACTAGTTTATATTACTTGTATTATATAATGATGTTCTTAGATGTTGGAAGCCACCTTGAATCCCAACTTGGGAGAAAGGTGGGATATGAATACATTTAATAATGATGATGATGATATTGATAGTTACTTAGAGTGGGCAAAGAATGAATTTCATTGAATATTCCATTTCCATTATATTGCCTCACTATTTTTAAAAAATGAAACTTTATACATTGACAACTTTTACCACACTTGTATTTTGGTGCTGCCTACATGGAAGCAGCAACTCGTGTGTGTGTGTGTGTGTGTGTGTGTGTGTGTGTGTGTGTGTGTGTTTAGCATTAAAGGATTTGGTTTGGGGGCAAAGAAGAAGCCCAGCTGGGCTGAGAATTAGGCTGGGGCTCATAGAGGGGTGTTTGATGCCTAGACTAGTTTGTGAGATCAGAGACCTCAGGCTCAGGCAGATGCATTTAAATTCTTGGAGCTTGGGGAACACCATGCCACATCTTTTCAAATATTTGTGTCCTCCTGCTTTAATATTAATTCCTGTGGGTTAAGGAAGTATCTGCAGAACTGCATTTTGAATAGGGCTGAGCCAAAACTTGGTTTTGTCAGCACTTCAGGCAATAGCAAAAGAATAAGAAAAGAAAAGAAATCCCTCCCCCTTTAAGCACTCCTTGTGAAAATGTCCATTCACCCATTTCAACTGCCCTCACTTGGCATCATCAGCCAGCTCAATCTGATGGCAGCTATGTAATGTATTCCTGTTCAGTACAGGATTCCTGACAGGATGAGATTCCTGTCCATGTATCTAATCCAGGAAAGATGAAGACACTGAAGCTAAGGGAGTGGACTTCGTGTCCAGCAGGATTTTAAAAGGAGGAGGAGCATTTCCCCACCTCACAAGGATGCCTAGCTTTGACCTGAAAGTCTATCTCACCTCCATCATCAACCTCTCAGGATGTGTGACTGTATGTGTGTTGCTAGGCTGAGCCCTTGCTGGTCCTGTCCATGACCAGACTTCAAAACATACAAGAGCGTTCTGAAGCCATTTCAAAATAGTGGGAGAGGGGTTTGGAAAAAAGAAAGAGAGAAATTGGGGGCATTGCTGAAATGTTCTCTACAAAATGAAGGGCCCTGTATTCAATGGGGAGAGAGCTCACCCCCCCCCAAAATGCCCCCTAGATCATCCAACACCTTTGCTGAGATCCAGCCCATCTTAAGATGTCGTCTTAATACAGTGTCCCTCCCTGCTGCACACAGTTGCCTCCTTGGTCAAAATGGGAAGTGTCTTAGGATGAAATCTGAGGGCCGTCCCTTCTCTCCCCATCCCTCCCCCTTGCCCTGCAGTGGTGAGAGGCCTAGTGGTAGTGGCTGTTCATGTTGTTGATATGGGAGGTTGCCATGGCACTGAAGGGCGCTGAAGGCTGCAAGCCGTGGCTGGGGTACAGAGTGGGGGTAGAGCCTGGCCAATAGGAGAAGCTGGTTGGAGTCACCCCCGAGGCCATAATGTTGAGTTTGGAAATGCCAGAGAAGGGCAGGGGTGCCTGGAATTTGTAGAGGGTATGGTCGGGTGTTGCTGGCTGGCAGACTTGGGCCAGGCCCTGGAAGTCAAACTTGTAGGCGTAGCGTTTGCCGTGGACCTTGGTCATGATGTTCTTGTCATAGTAGTAGCGCAGGGCCCGGCTCAGCTTGTCATAGTTCATGTTGGGCTTGCTCTTGCGCTCCCCCCAGCGCCGGGCCACCTCGTCGGGATCCAGGAGTTTGAACTCCCCATTGGTGCCCTCCCAAGCGATGCAGTTGAGGTTGGCACGATCAGAAAGCAGCTCCAGCAGAAATTGCCACAACTGGATCTGCCCACTGCCTGAAAAGCCAAAAGAGGGGCAGTGAGAAAAGCCCATCTTGAAGGGGCAGACCTGTCACCCTCACATAAACATAGGAAGCTGCCTTTATGCTGACCCATACATTTGTGTAGCCCAGGATTGCTGCTACAGGAGTTGTTAGAATAAAGCTTCCATGATCTTTGACTCTTGGCCATGGGCAGGTGGACTGGGGCTGACAGGAACTGGAGTCCAGCCGCATCAGGAGGGCATTATGTTTGGCTTGCCCAGGCCAATTCTGAGGGCCAGACTAAATGTTATGCTAAACACAAATGCCAAAGACACCAACTAGCCACTAGATCCCTCTCTACCCGGACAGTCTAAATAAGTAAACAATGATAATGTTCTTTCTTAGCTGCCCTACACTAGAACGCTCAGGGCAGATTACAGCATATTAAAACAGTCAAAACTAAACAACACCCCCAATAAAGCTCAACATCAATAATCCTTCCAGTTAAAAGACACCAGCATCAAAACTTCCAATTTCAAAGGCCAGGGTAAAGAGATGTGTCTTCAGTAGTCAATGGAAGCTGTAGAGAAGTGGTGTCAGATGCATCTCTTGGGGCCATCACCAGAAAGGCTCTGTCATGAGCTCAACCCACTCACAACTACTGAGAGCAACAAAACCACCAGAAGGCCCTCCTTCTTTTATCTTAATTCCAGGGCTGCTGTACAGGGAAGGTGTTCTTTCAGATATTTGGGTCCCAAGTCTAACACAACTTGAAACACTTTCCCAAAAGATTTCAATCCCCAATGGCCTGGAAAGCAACTTCCAGATTAAAACGCAAGTAAAGGCAACAACAAAAGGAAATACAAGCAACAAAAGGGTTGGGGAACCTTCAGAACAGGCTTAGAGGGAGGCATGAAGGGAGGGGAGGAGAGAATAGGGGAAGGGAGGGCAAACCTCGTTCTGCTCCTGCATACCCAACTTAATGCTATGTTGGAGTCCACCCACTGACTGCTGTGTTCCTTTCGCTGTAAATCCTTGCCATCCTTCCTTATCATTTGGGCATTTAAAGGTAAACAAAAGGTACATCAGACTCCTGGCTGAGCCAAAATATGAAGTGTCAACTCTTTTCCTATTTCCCCCCTACCCATAATTACTAACCAATAAGTTTCTATGACGTAAGGCTCCCACTAGAAGAGCTCAAAATATAATGTTGCATGCCACCCCAATCTCAAAGAGGTGCAAGATTTCAGGGGTTCCAGGAACTTACCCAGGGTCCCGTTTCATTGGAATGGGGGACAGTGGAGACTATGGTGTCCTTATTTACACATATATAGAACCAGAGCTCAAGATAAAGAGGCTTACAGCATTAACACTCCAAGTGGTCTTGCTTCTTTCACAGACACAGTCTTGGAATCAATCATGGCTCTCACTCCCTGGCTTCTGCCTGCAGCCTGCTTCTAGCCCAGCTCTCTCACACAGCTATGGATATTGTCCTCCCCAGCAGCCAGGTGAAAGAGGGGGCTCACCCATTTACCCTCTGGCAAAGAACAGCTTTCTTTGTCAGATTAAGAACCATACTTAGGTGATAACTATGGCCCTTGCCTGGCTACTGGTAATTCAACAATAGAATCCTCCATTAGATTTTAACCCTTGCTGGATCCAGGAATTTGAAGGGACTTAGGCATTATATAGCCTAACCCCTTCCCCCAAACTCACAACAATATTTTAATCCCTTTCCCATTAACCACTGTCCCACCCTCAAAGATATAATAATACTCTTATTCCTCTGTGTCTGTTAAGAAAGCCAAATAGCTCACACTGTTGACTGCTTTGAACTCTTCAGAGCTGAATCCTTTTAATTTTCCCAGTCACTCCAAAACCTTCCTCATTAAAAAAAAAAAGTATCCATATTCTTTTTCTTCTCTATATACCTTTACTAGGAAGTGAATCCATTCTATATGAGATGCAGTGCTTTTAGGTGGGTGTATATTGCAGAATCATTACCTCTATGTGTGCAGGTTTTCACAGCATCCACATGACATCATTGGCATAAAAACACCAGTTCGTATTTCCCCCTATTTAATCTGGATTGGAAAATCTGATATTTAAAAAAAGCCCACCCACCCCCACCCCATTTACCGTATCTGAATGAGCTGTTTGCAATATTAAGCCCCCATCCAGAAGCACCCTAGGATATAATACCCCAAGTAAGTTTGCAGTAAAGATCACAGCCTTACACTCATTTGACTGTTGTGACCAATTACCGTAGATACAAACAAAGCACCATAGAGTATTATGGTTTACACAGCTTGGCACACCTATTGTGTTGCTTCCTGCTAAATACTTTTGCCTTGTTTTTTAAGCAAAAATTATATAAAAAATATACAACTGATACATTTATTTACTACAGGTAAACCTGAGAAGTTGCTTTGTCTGAACTAATTTGAAGGAATGGAGGTCAGAAAATGAAAAACAAAACCAGTGCTCTCTGTGTTTCTAAATAGTCAGATAGGTTACATTACAATATGCATAGTGAACATAGACATATTTCATACAACTAATTAAATAAATAAAATGTCTGAACCAACCTTCTGTATGTGTACAATTATGGAATCTCACACTACTAATGATATAATTTTTAACTTCTTCCAAGACAAGAAGAGCTGATTCACACAGCCACATGTGTCAGCTTAAACATTGACAAGTGACTGGTTTGAGTGCTATTATAAAGTGACATAAAATATTGTTCAGCATTTAACCAGTGCTAGCAGTTTCACACATGCATGTCCTCTATTGATGTTGCTGTCCTGAACAAATGGTTCTGAAATAACTTCTGATCTTAATCCTTTTCCTTTTTTATTGTAGTCTAGAGAGGCCTCCTCTACACTTGCAACAGAATGAGGTGGTAGACTGGGTGATGGTAGAATAGATGGTACACATTTCAAATGCCAGGTAGGGAAATCACATTTCTTAATCTTTCCCTGTGTAACCCCCCCCAAGAAACCCACCACTCTTTTGCAAGTAGAAAACTAGAACAGCAGAGAGGTGGCTGGGCTAAAACCTTTCTCCCTGAGCTGCTAGCTTTCTACTTTCAAAGAACTTTTTCCCCCTTAGGGGAATGTTTTAAAAAATGACTTTCCTCATCTACCCACAAAAACTTTATTCTGCTGCATGTGTAGGCCAGGCTACAGATAAAAGATGAAACATTTCCAGAGGCGTAACCCTGTTAATATGTGGCAGTAAAATCGACAAAGGGTCTTATAGCCTCTGGAAGACTAAGTGTGATATCCAAGGTTAGTGATACTCAGAGCAGACTAAATGAGATCAAGGGGCCACTGGAGTCCACTGATTTCAGTGTGGCTGCTGGAGTATCACTAAGGCTGGCTATCACCCTAACGCAAGCACAAGCATTCATTGACTACAGCCCACTTCATCAGATGCTGAGTGTATTTTAGCCCAAGAAAATATATGGCATAATAAAACCTGCTAATCTTTAAGGTGCCACAAGGAAAAGCGGGGACAGTTTTAACCTGATCAGGCACAGTTCAAGTATTTCGTACTTGCTGCTGGGGAAACCAGTCGCCCAATATAAAATGTAACTTAAGCAACGAATATTATTATTTTTTTGGTGGGGGAGGGACCACAGCTGAATCAGAGGGGATAGGGAACCGGTCCTCCAGATGCTGTTGCATCCCATCAGCCCCAGCCAGCAAGGCCAATGGTCAGAGAAAAGGAGAAGTGTAGTCCATGCAACATCTGGAAGGCTATAGCACATTTGAAGTCAGATAAATGAAACCCGGAAGAGGAAAGAGCTTTGGCCCAAGCGCTAACCCTCCTCTTCACAATTCTGAGTTCCAGGTGCGGAAAAGTGTGATCCATTCATTTTGGGCTTTTAGGAGATGGCGACCACCTACCAGCCTCTATAATGTTGTAAGGGTGAACTCTCTTATAAAGGAAATCGAACGTTTAAAAACCAAGACAACCGCAGTTGATTTCCAACACATGTCAGGTTTCTAATGTGCTCTCTTAGCTTAAAGTGGGTACGCTTGCTAATACACACTGTTACATATTCGCAAGTGCTTGTGCGCCCTAGATATAAACCCAAGGAGCATGGTTGTTTAGCACTTCTAAGGCAGAGTACTTCGTACCCATCGCCGTGGGACTACTGCCTCACCTTAACACTGCAATCCTCTACAACACGCCTGCTCAAATTTCTGCTCCTCAGAAATAAGCGTCGTTGACTGGTCAATGAAGTTTACGTTCGGGTAAATGTGCACAGGATTCCCCCCTAAAACCTCGCCTGCTCCCCGCCCCCACCGCTTTTGAGATCAACCGGACTTCAGATATCAACTCCTCATGATTGTGCCCAAAGCTATTTAGAAATTACGCACGCTGTCAACTGGTGGCAGACTGACTTTGCAAATAGACCGAAGGGCGGAGTCCATTGATCAGGCAACAGCAAACGAAACTACCTTGTGGAGGGAAAATATGTCCCCAAGACCCCAAAACTTTATTCCCATCTTATTTCTCGAAAAAGCGCGCTCTCTCGTTTTCTCTTAGAAAGGAGAAACCCTATCCGCTGTGCTTCGTTGATCTGCAACCTCGAGATTCACTAAATGGGCAACATTTATTTTCAGCGGCGAAAATAACACTGTTTATCTAAGAGACTGCCTTAGACGCCCTTGGGGAGGTCAAACTGGTGGCCTACATCTTTCGCCTAGCTTTTTAATTCATCTTTCTGGTTTTCTTCTGCTTTAAACTGGTGGGTTTTTAATCTTGCAGCGCTTGTAATTACTGTCTTGGCGGCAGAAAGGCGATTCATAAATACGTTTGACATATAATGATGTTGATGTACAGTATCACGCTTTGTTTTTTTTGTTTTGTTTTTTTCAGGCTCCCCTCTGCGGTAACCGATTTTGTAGGCTTCAGTCCTCTACCCACTGACGTGGAAGAAAGCCACTGAGTTCCGTGGGATTTACTCCAAGGTGAGTTAGTATACGAATGCAGCCTTACTTTTGGGTAAGGATGCATAAATTGCAGGTGGAGTCGGCTCTAAAGGAAGCCTCACTCCACATTTCTCAGCAGATGAATCTGTTTACATCGGGTTTTGCCCCCGCCCTTCTGCATTATAGCATTTTTGGTGTTTTAATGGTGCTTTTAAGTTTAAGTGATATCGTAATGTTATTTAATATATTTTATCCAATATACATACACTGCCCTGGTGAGAAAAAAATCCAGATACTGTACTGAGATAATATTGATCTACCTTGCAAGGCAGTTTTATGGATTGCACCAACACAAGATGAGGCGCGTGAAGTATTTTGTACGCTCTACAGTGCTGTATGCATACGAATTATTGGTTCTGCTAACGTTATTCATATATTAGGCACTATTGGCCGAATTTAAAAATATTTATTTACTCTCTCTTACCGGAGTCGGTACTTGGCCGGTTCAAGAGGAACTATTTATTTTGCACTCGCGATGTATCGAGATCTTTCCAGCGATGCACCGCAGCGCAAGACACGCGTGTTGTGGACTTTGACATTTGTTGAATCCCTTGCCAAATCCTCCCCCAAACCGTGAATTCCTCTCCTCTCCCCCTTCGGAGTTGTATTTGGGGTAAGAGATGTACATAAAAATTGGTAAATGCACACCGACGAGTTACTTCGTTTAAGTTAAATAAAATCAGATTTCTTTTAAATAAGAATAATAATCTTGGCTTCATGGGGTTCGTTCATCATTTCGCCCTTTTGCCAAACCCGCTAGCCCGTGTGGCATCGTAGTTAGAGCGCTGGGACCTGTGAGGACAGGACTGAAGTCCCTACTCAGCCAGCGGTTCTCCTTGGGCCAGTCGCTTTCTCGCTCAGCCTAGTTTACCTCTCAGGGTTGTTGTAAGAATAAGACGAGAAGAGAACGGGGGTAGAATAATTGTGATGGTGATGATAGATAGATAGATAGATAGATAGATAGATAGATAGATAGATAGATAGATAGATAAGTTGGTACTTCTGCGCCTCTTTTCCCTCAAACCTGAGATTTTGAGATGCTATAGATTTTTTCTGCTACTGTTGCGAAACTTGATTCCGTAGGAAATGGGGTGTGAAAAATGCTCTAACCAACTGCGCCTAAATTGCTCTAAGCAGTCAGTCCGCGCCATCCAGGGACCATCGGCGCTCCCACCTGGGAATTATGAACGCGACACCCCCGCTCCTAAACCCCTATTTGTGTAGCAGCTATTGGCATTAACAGGTTAAGAAAGACGTTGGTTTCCTCGACTGTAGTCCAGATTGGGAGTGACATCTCGTTAAACTCAGGGGATTTACTACTTCCTAGAAAACCTGCCTGAGAGATCCCGCTGAAATGAATGCCAAAGGCTGGTCCCCAACTGCGCCAGAGGCGCACATCAGTGGGAACCGATTGAGCCAAGAGGGACGTGGGTTAGTGGCAGCTGAATCGGGGCTGATGTTAGGCTGGGGTGCTAGAGAGTCTCCCCGCGTTTGTTTGTTTTGTAATTAAGTGGCCCAAACCCCGAAACGCAGTTAAACAGTTACTGTACGCGTGTTTTGAGTCAGCGGTATTTCAGCGTATTTAATACTTTCCGAGAGAACGGGATCCAAGTTCTGGGGCTTAACTGGGCTGCTTGTTTCCTTATCTCCAAGGTGAGAGAAAGTGTCCAACGGAGGGACTGAGAATTTTCGAGGTGGTGCAAGAGACGGGCGTTGGGAATGCAACTAGTTCTCGGCAGCGCCATTTGGACAGAACGCTTCCTCGGGGAGAAGTCTTAGGAGTGCGGCTGTGACTTTGTTTTCACCTTCTTATAAGAATAAAAATGAATCGGCAGCCAGCCATGATATTGCAGAACTCAGAGCTGCTTTTCGGCTAAGTTCTCTGCTCCAGAAAACAGCCTCACCTTATTTCAAGACGTCTCCCGCAGCTCCTTGCCGAAAATGCCCTCGATTCTTTCCCTTGCTCTCTGTCCCTGCCACCTTAGGCAGGGACCCAGGTTGCCCGGCGGATCAGAGCCTGGTTTCTGGGGAAGCCTCCGAAAGAAGGGAAAGGGCGCTTGGTGGCGGCGGGGTTGGGGATTTTTGGTGCCGGTTCTTGGAGGGCAGAAAGGAGATTTAATAGGACCCCTCTTTGCCCAGATGGGCTTGCCACTAAAATTGCAGTACAGTACTGTGTATTTAAAGAGGAAGTTTTCAAGCTACACAGAGCTGGGGGGGGGGGGGCTTGCCTCGCTCCACGCTCCTAAAGCTTGAAAGTGTTTTCTCTTTTTTTAAAAAAATAATCACTGAAACCCGTGAATTTGAACAGCGCAGCAGTCAATCTTGCCTGAAGTAGAGCCCGGTGCAATACCAAAGCTTACTACTCTGCCAGCAGCCTTAAGGAAAGGTGCCATTTTTCCTTTCCGTGGCAACCTGCTGGTCAAGATCCCCTGAAGTCCAAGGCAGGGTCCAGCTCTCCGCGCAGTTTGATCCCAGCTAGCACTGATTTCGGGAGGCGCAGGGTCTTCGCCGCCTTGAGCATTTGAGGAGCAGGTTCCCTTGACAGCCATGGGAAGCTAAAGCAGAGGTTTTGGAGCGGCTGTAGCTGCTCCCGCTTGAAGGTGTTGAGTTCAATTCCTACCATCTCCAAGTAGGTCTGAGGAAGACCCTCTGGCTAAAACCCCGGAGAGCCGCTGCCATCCACGGCAGGCGATACTGAGCCAGACAGACCAAGGATCGGATTTCACAGAAGGAAGTCGATATTAATTCCTCCTTTCTCTCTCTTTTTATTCAAAAAAAAATCCAGAGATCTCATACGATTCCCACACTTCCTCCATTATTTGGGGCCTTGCGCCTCCAAGTGCTTTAGAGGTACAAATCAACCAGCGCACACCCTAACCCTACTAACTGCATTATTACTGAAATGATAGATATATCAGGAAGGATCAAATCCTGCCCCGGGCGCGCTTCTTGTTTCGCACCCGCAGCTGATTCGGGTACCGCGTTGCTTTTGAAGTGGTTTTGCAACGACCACACATATACACCATCGTTTATTTCTAAGATTTTGGGGGCCCACTCAACTCTAAAGAGCGTTTGCTAGAGAAAAGAGGGTGCGCTCCTTCCTATAAGGCGCAGATTTCGAACCCCTGAAGGTGAGACTTCGTTGCATTGGATGATGCGCATCCTCTGCTTAGCGTCAGCCCCCCACACCCCTTTTTCGGTACTGTCCAGGAAGGCGGGGAAGCGAGAGTCTTACCTTTTTGGACTCCCGGTCCCAGTGATCCCCACGCCTGGCTTTTGCCTTCTTTGAACAAAGTTTCCCCAACTGGGTCTGCAAATAAGATCAGCAAGAAGAGAGACAGAGGGAAAGAGAGGTGGGGGAAATGAGCGCGAACCCAAACCGATCCCGGTCCCCACCCAAGAATCTCCCCGTAATTGGGACTTGATGGAGGGGGCGGGCGCGTTGGACAAGCTCCCTCTCTCTCTCCAGAGCGAGCCTGGTTGTATTTCAAAGTCCCCCCGCCGCCCGCCTCTGCCGCTCTGCCTCGCCCCCCCACCCATGCCAAGCCGCTATGAAGCCAGGAAACGCGTCCAGGAAAAAGGAAATCCGACTTCCGATGGGAGCCGTCGGGGCAGCTTTAAAGAGGGACGGCGAGAGAGACGGCTCTGCGCGCCTGCTGAAGAGCGCCAAGGAGCGATCTTCATGGAGGGGGAGAAATGGCAGTTAGGGGAAAGGAGCAGGAGAAGAAACGGGAGGCAGAGGTGGGAGCCTCGGGTCTGGGCTGGGAGGAAAGGGACCGATCCACCACGTGGAAAGCTGCGCCGGCGGCGCCGGGCAGCCCTCGCCTTTGGTCCCTGCCCTACCTGGCAGGTACATGTTGAGCAGCAGGGTCCGGGCCGCGCCGCGTCTCATGGCAGCTCTGCGCCCACCCCGCGCCCGCGGGGGGTATTATTGCCTTCGCCTGGGGAAGATGATGGTTGTTATTATGTATTACGGTCCCCACCCGTCGAGGCAGGGCGCGGGATGGGGAGAGCGGCGGCGAGGGTGGGGGCAGTCTCCAAGCAACCTGCGAGGGGCGCAGGGCCTGGGCGCCTGCAATTTCCTCTGCGCTTTAATTAAAGGCGCGGCGCGGGCGCTTATCGCCCCATCGGACTTTAATAAAGTTCCCCCCGTTAAAGATCGCCGTTTCTATGGAGAGAGGCAGCCGCGGCCCTCGCATTTTCCGCCTCCTTAACTCTTTGCAAACACACAGCGCCTGGCCTGGCCCTCGCTCGGCGGCGCTTCTGCTCCAGTGCCTCTGAGCCAACAAGGAAACGAGCCCCGACGGAGGCCTTAATGGGCCTTTAACCTGAAAGTGATTCTGTGCCCCCCCGCCCCCCACCCACAAGCGGAGCCGCGGCGAAGGTGCCGCATCCTCCTTTGGGGGGCGAAGAGACCGGAGGGACCGGATTCCTTCCACCATCCGCTCCTCGCCCTGGAGCCTCGCAGAATCAGCCAAAAGGCTTCTGTCGTTTCCCGCCGTGGCTCGCAAGATGCTTTCCAGAAGCTGAGAGGGAGCACAGCAAGGCAACGATCTTCCCTGATATTTGTCCTCAGTACCAGATGCTCAGAGGTCGAGCATCTCTGAATGAAGAGGTTCCATTTCGCTACCATCGGATAATCTGTTAATCGACTCGCCCACCCTTCTGCAACCTGGTGCCCGCCAGACATAGGAGCCAACTCTTAGGGGCCAAGGTCCCTTCGGCCCCAATAAAATATTTGAGGGGGTCAGGCCTTCCGAAGGTTCGTGAGCATTGCCGTTCAAATGGTGTGCATGCACTGCATCATGTGATCAGTTATGTGGGGTGGGGTTTACCTGCACCCCCCCATATTTTATTCAGATTGGCTGCCACCCCTGCCACCAAAGATCTTGGGCTGCCTGCAATGTTGATTGGGGCTCATGGGAGTTGTGGCCTGACAACATACCTCATCTAAGATTTAGATGGTACATTCACTACTTGCCACTGTTAACTCCCCCCCTGAAATAAACTAATTGTATTTGCATGTATAGTCCAATCCCTCTCAATAACTCTGGTGGAGGAAAGCGATTCCACCTGTCCCAGTATCTATACAGTAGTGAATCAAAATTGTATATATGTTGGTAACTTAAAACAACAGTAGTAGTAGGTAGATGTATTTCCAAAGGGGTAGCCATGTTGGATAGTTGCATCTTGAAGACCAACACATGATAGCTTTCAAGGGGGGACTCTTGGATGTGTCAGTAATATTAATATATGGTGGGTTTCTTAATCTCAGTAAATTAAAACAGTATTATAAACCTCTTATAACAGTGCATTATAGTAGTATTTCCTTCCCCACCTCTCGCATCACTCAGTCACAATGAGTTCCACATGTCAGCCTACTTGAAGGAGGTTTAGCAGGAAAACGGTGGGGTGGGATTATGTGAGCCAGGTTAGGGCAGGCCTCTCTTTTCCTTTCTGGGGGCGGCTTCTTTCTGAGTACAATTCAGAGTGTTGGTGCTGAACTTTAAAGCCCAAAACAGCCCTGGCCCTGTATACCTGAAGGAGTGTCTCCACCCCCATTGTTCAGCCCAGACACTGAGGTCCAGCACGGAGGGCCTTCTGGTGGTTCTCTCATTGAGAGAGAAGAAGTTACAGGGAACCAGGCAGAGGGCCTTCTCAGTAGTCACGCCTGCCCTGTGGAGCATCCGCCCAGGAGATGTGATTTTTAAAAGATGTCTGAAGTTTTGTGTGTGTGATGTTGTATTGTGCTTTTATTTTTATTTATTTATTTTTGTAGGGAGCCACCCAAGTTGCTGGGGCAACCCAGTCAGATGGGTGGCATATAAATTGATGATGATAATGGAAGGAGCTCTTTGGAAATAGGACCCTCCTAGGCAAACATGATGGTGGTGTCAGTTACTGCCACAGCTATGGAGCCAAGTGAGAAGTCTATCCAAGACAGCAGATTTTGGGTGATGGTGATGAAACAGCGTTGCTCTTGGCAGTGGAGGCTAGGGCAAAAGGGGCAACACCCCACCAACTTCCCTCTTCCCTCAGCCAGCCTCCACCTGCCTGCCTTCTTACTTACAACCAGCCCAAGGGAAAGGGGTGATGGCTGTCAGCTTTTCCTCCCTCTTTAGTCTCAGTTTTGCCTTTGTAGAACTTGGCAGGAAGAAGGACAGTGAGAAAATGGTCCCACCTACTGTTTTCCTCCCTGTCTTCTGCCCCGCAAGTACCAATGAGCACCAGTTGCCACTGGCTTCTGGAGAGGGGCTGTCAAGGCTCTATCCCAACCTGGTGCCCTCCAGATGCTGTTGGACTCCAGGCCCAGGAGCCCCAGCCAGCACAGCCAATGGTCAGGGATGATGAGAGCAGTAGTCCACCAGCATTTGGAGGGCACCAGGTTGGGAAGGCTTTTCTACAGAAATGTGGTTCGAAGAGTGGTTGACGAATGCAGGCTGGAGTTGGCAAGTTAGCAAGTTTGATATGCTCTCTGCCAAAATGCGAAAGAGCCTCTATCCTGTCCCGTTAGAATACAGAACCACGGTCTACCTTTAATTGGGGGGGGGCAAAATACTTATGAATCAATAATCATCACATCATGCACATGCACAAAAGTTGGGCATTGCCTCCTTAGGTCCTGTCATTTCCCCCAGGTTCTGTAATACTGTACCTTGTCTGGGCAAGCAGACAGCACAGAGACATCTAGTGGCTAAATAAGGGGAAATGCATGCATTTCACTGTCAAGGCATCAGAAGGCAGCAAGAAAACAACACGTGGTCTACACTCTTGTACAGAGAGCTGAAAGAAGATGGGGTGGGCAGATGAGAGATCTGGAAAGAACAATGCCTATCTGCTTCTTTCCCTTTCCCTTTCCCTTTCGAGTTCTTACTTTTAATCTCAGAAAAATAATATCAACAGGCCCCCTTGCTATGAAAACACAGGATCTCCCTCCCCATATTCCACCACTACAAGTTAAATCTCACCGAAGTAGGAATCAGTTTGCAGGCCAACCCAAAGGTTCTCATTAGCCTGCAACAAAATGTAACTAGAGGTTTAAAGGACAGCTGTCATGAACTGGGACACACTGGGGCAAGCTGGGGAAGGGGAAGTTGGTGTAGGAAGTACTTACAGGGTGAAGGAGGTTGACAAGGGCATAGGGGTCAGTGCACAGGATCCAGAGCAGCAGGACCCATCACCAGAGTCAGAGGGGCCCCTGGCTCCACAAACATGGTGGGCTCTGAGGCATAGAGAGCAGCGAGTGGGGTGATGCAGGAGGCTGAGGCAGGCAAGGTTCCACAGCCCAGTTCACTAGCTGGTCAGGTGGGGCTTGATAGCTCTGGGAGGAGGTGTGTGATTCCTCAGCTGGAGTAGGTTTGAAAAAGATGAGGGTCACATGCCTCGTCAAGCCCAGATGCTACAATCAGCATACAAAGGGCAGCAGAGTTCTAGGGCTGTGTCTGTTCATGTTGATGGATCTCAGCTTCTGTGCTTAGGTTTGGACTTTGGACATGTGGATTGACACTGGACTGGGGACTACTGACTTGCTGCTAGGTAGGTCAGGGGTTCAAGACAACAACTGTATAACTGCTAGCATGCTCATAGCCCAGGCTAAGTTAAGATGGATGCTTGATTTAATATGGTGTTTGGTGCAATATAACATCAGTGCTGGTGGGCCACTAATCTGTAATCTCATGACATTCCTGCGTATGGACAATGGGTCAGTGATGGCTAGTCTTCTCTGGTGTCTTAATGCAGCCTATGCAATGGAGGGGGTCACAGCACCACTGTTGGCCATTGGCTTAGGGTTCCTCCACACAATCTGTTTGTTGAGCATTCATGCTGATTTGCTTACACAGTTTTCATGGAGGTTACACTATGTTCAGTCTTTACTGAACATTCATTTTGATTCATTTATAGATATGTTTCATGATAGTGGGCATTCATCCCAATTTGCTTGCAGTGTGCTCATGCATCTTACTGTTGTTCATCCCACACTTTTCAGTGCATTTTTCAGCCACTTTCCTAACTCCATAAAGTGGATCTGCTGTCCTAGGGTGGCAGAGGGTTCAAATTCTTCCTGAAGAATAGGAACAGTCTGGAGGCATGCTTAGAATTGCTTGCTGCCACAGAAGATCTAAGTAGCTTTGGGCCAGTTGCTGTTATGGGGGACTGGAAGGACTTTAATCATTTGAATTCCAAGGCCCATTAGCTGGTTTTGGCAAATTAACACCAAATGTTCAAATTAACAATGCGATGTTCAAACGACACCTTGTCATGGCAGCTTAGCTGAACAGTTTGTGTGGGAACAGGCTGCTGTGTGCTGTTTATGTGGTGAGACAAGAGATTTGTTATTGCAGGCTCCCTTGCAATGTTTTAATACGTCAAGGTCAAAAATTTCCTTTCCCCTTCCCATATATGGGCATAATGGACATCCTTCCTTTGCAAGGAACCTTTCGTCAGAGATCGCCCCCGGAACAGACACGGCAAGCTATGTTAATGGTTCTGTGTGGTTTACAAGAGACATCCTTTCAGATATTGAGATGGGGCCTGCTGATATAAAGTATCAGAACCTCTTTAAGAAACTGTTGTCAGGTTCAGGAATCTCATATGTTAATGCCCTCTGTTAATGGTTTTTTGTACATGCAAGCGGACTGGGAGGTGGCATGCCTCTGAACATGTGCAAAGTGTCCTCTATTCACCTCTCTCTGTGTGTAGAAAAAGATTAGGCTGGGTTTCCTGCACAGAGGATGTCCCACAGGCAGACAAGCTCTTCTGCTTGTGGACCCTCATGGAAACATGCTCATTTGGAAGTGTCTGGGGTTCAGGGCTCAAATATCCTTGGATAACCAATGATGTAGTATTCCAAGGTTTCCATTTCATCTGTTATTGCTGTTACTATGTGTTAAGAGGCACTTCGCCTCTTCCCCATGCAGTCCCAACACTCCTTTTTAAACATTGGGATGGGATGCTTCTGAATGGGAAGTTAAGTGGATCCTCTCCTGGAAGGTTGTCCACAAGAGAGTGTGGCCCTT